TAAACTTCAACTGATAACGCTTTTGTAAGTAAAGGTGTCTAATATTCTAAAGGAATGTCTGGAGGGGATCTATCTAAAGGAATGATGCAAGACTGGACATGACATCTTCATTGCAAAAACCCCACAACGGCCTAAACATAACCTGGTCCCTCAGTATGATATCTCAGGTCAGCGAGAGATCCCTATTTATACATATGGGAGGGACCCTATATGTACTGGAAAAACCCACACCGCCCTAAAAATAGCATGGTCCCTCATCCTCACTGGTCCCTCACTGTTTACTATAAATAAAGAAGTAGGGACAGGGTGCTGCAGAACCCCCCATTTCCCATTCATCACATATACAGTATATGTTCAATATAGGAATGTAGTTACCCGTTCTTTCGCATTTACATAAATATATTCAGATACATAAATACAGCGACCGTGTAATCAGTCTCATTCGGTAGCTGTCCCAGATTTATACTAACTGGTATTCTTTTACAAATCCATATCGTTGCGGAGGTAATAATTAATTCGGATTTTACAATCAGGGACGATGTGGTACACTCATTATATCCTATCTGATGACACGACGTGTTCAGAAATAACTAAAAAAAATGCTGTTGTGAAATGAAAATCCGATAAATACACCCCTGAAAACGTTTTGCAGTTAATTGTGTATAATCGTACTTGTTGTCCCCAAGTCAGGACCTCACGTTAGCCTGAAATGTTTCAGGATCATAACATTAGCACGGTCAGTCAATTCAACACTCTTAACAACGATTTACTGATCGGCAGACATTTCTGGACCACACACTTTGCTGTGGGTATTGTGTATGGCGTGGATCTCTGTACCATTATGTTCTACCAGAATGGCTTGATATCGCAGATGGAGGAGCTTTGCCTACAGGACAATGTGGATCCCTTGATGCAAGCTGTCTTTTTATCGTACCGCTGTGTCACTCACTTTGAACAGCCTAGAAATGGTTACCCCAAACATTCAATATTCCCTTATGCAGTCCCAGGCAGCTTTCCCTACCACACCGCCAACAACTCCTCCGATAATCACCCCTATAAATATTCCCAATGGTCCAAACGGCGTTCCAATATAATAACCAATCATGATCAGCTCAGAACTAAGCAAGCCTTCATAAATACGCCGTATTAATATCTCTGTGAAGTCGTTCTTTGTTATTTTGCCATTCCGTCTCTCCTTACAAGCCTTTCTCAAAATACTAACCATAAATGCAGTTTCCATTCCGACCACTATTCCAAAGGACTCTGTACCAACTACCATGTAATGACCAATAATCTGTTTGATTTTCCTTTTCAGCCACACAATTTGGCGGGATTTCGCGACACCACATTTGCAAAAGGTTGCGAAAGATTCACAATTGTCGGAAAACAACTTATACCTAATGTCACCAATCCTCGAGCGTGCTCTAGCCAGGACTATTTCTGTAGGATTTTCTTTGGTGACAGAATCAGTATAGTGTATACGATACATAGGGTCATTTTTCACTTTGATGCGTTCGTAAATTATTTTGAAAGTATTTTCTCCATTCATATTCACCCAGTGTATCATTCCTATGGTGTTCTCCTCAGCATTGATTTCCGAAACGATACCATGATGCCAATATAGAAAATATCTAAGCCATGTAACATGGTCCCCGGGCTTTAGAATGTCAGCAAAATGATGCAGGTCAACTTTAGTTTTGGAACACGGCACCTGGAACGCTGTATTATCTTCTAGGATTGGTGGTTTTCTGCGATACACGCGTCTCAGGTTTGTGTCATTAATGTCTGCTATGTATTCCTGTGTCAAGCTTTCAACTCCACATCTAGTACAATAGAAGCCAATGAATTTGCCGCTGCTGTCCCAGTAGCAATTTACTTTATGTGGGTTTCCCTTCCTTTCACAATGACACATTCCGTCGAAATGGGGATTCTGCACCTGTGCCTTTATCGCCGAATCTGAAACATCAAATTAAAGATATGTAGAAAATATATGTCATGAAGGATGCCAATATTAAATATATAAACGACTTTTCTCTTTTGACGGTTATAACGTAAATAGACTATCATAGTTTCCAATACCCTGGATGTCAGGGGCATAGTTAGCCCTTTGTTCGGAGTGGATTATAGAGGCGGTCCAGGTAAGGGTCAATTAAAGAAGCATTTTTGTTTTCAGTTTGAAAATTTTGTTAGTGGTGCGTACCATCGTACAGGGAGCTATGCGCATGGACGTACACATATCAGACCTCACGTAATGACGTTCCGTTTTTTCCTGCGTTCACGCTTTAACTATAGAGTATCATTCCGCGCAGCTCATTCGGAGTCTGTCATAATTGCACACATTTTGTACTATGTACAATTATATGATCAACATAAATTTAAAGTGTACAAATAAATACCATTTTATCAATGAAAATTCTCAAATTATTGCATTTTTTTTTTTGCGAAATCGAAGCTTACGAGCATTAGACATTTCTTCATACTTTATGCAAAAGTACATGTCACTTGGAATAAATGTGAAAAGATTTCGGAATATACTCCACATACATAAGTGTATCAGCCATAGAAATGATTTTTGAAACAATAGAATGAGGCCAGTTAGCACATGTTTTACGCCATGTAACATGGTCCCCAGGCTTTGGAATGTCATCAAAATGAAGGAGGTCCACTTCAGTGTATTTTCTGCAAGGACTGGTGTTTTCTGCGATACACGAGTCCCAAGTTCTTGTCATTCATGTTTGTGATGCATTCCTGTGTCAAGTTCTAGATTTCACGAACAAAATGTGCCAAACAGTTTGTTTGTTGCTGTCAGCATGAGTCGGGTCCGTTCTCATAAACAATTAAACAATCCTTAGTCAAGGGTATTCTGCATCCGTTTCATCATCAACGAATCTGAAAAAAATCAAATGAAATATATAGGAAAGATTCGTCATCAAACATATAATAACTAAACGAATTTTCTCTTGTTGATAGTTATAACATAAGTAAATCAACATAGTCAGTGCTGCCCAGCGACCACATATTTTATCAGTGGTGACTAGTGACCACATACCTAATCAGTGATGACCAGTGACCACTACCTAATCAGTCAATGATGACCAGGGACCACATACGAAATCAGTGGTGACCAGGGACCACATACCTTATCAATTGTGACCAGGGATCACATACCTTATCAGTGGTGACTAGGGACCACATACATAATCAGTGGTGACCAGGGACCACATACCTTATCAGTGGTGACCAGGGACCACATACATTACCAGTGGTGACCAGGGACCACATACCTTATCGGTGGTAACCAGGGACCACATACCTTATCAGAAGTGACCAGGGACCATATACATTATCAGTGCTGACTAGGGACAACATACCTTATCAGTGGTAACCAGGGACCACATACCTTACCAGTAGTGAGCAGGGATCACATACCTTATCAGTGGTGACCAGGGACCACATACGTTACCAGTAGTGACCAGGGACAACATACCTTACCAGTAGTGACCAGGGATCACATACTTTATCAGTGCTGACCAGGGACTGCTTGTGTTCAAGATTTGTTCTTATAGGGAACTAAATAAGATGAATAGACATAAAAACAGTCGTTCTAAATTAAAGGTTTGGGCTTAGAATTCATCCACGAGTCAATGATCCTGAACCTTACGCACATACATATTTGAAAACAGAAAGACACTTCCTGTTCTTAAAATATGTATGTTACGCTTCCTGTTTTTAAATATGCATGACACATAAGATTGAAATTATTCACTCGCTGACGAAGGGATAACCCGAAAATGACTGTTGATGTTTACTTATTGGTCATCATAACAAAAGGGGGTAGCTTGAAAAGGAGATCTGGCGGAAATGCTACCTTTGGAAGTGTATTTAAAATATTGACATGTTTAAATATTTGTAGAGGTCGTTTTAAGGTTTGTGTTAAGATGAGTTAACGCTGATTAGCAGAAATAGTTTATTAGATTGAAGAGAATAATACAATGAAATTACTCAGCAGCACATCAACAGTTTCAAGACAAGTAAATAAATGTTTTTATCCGTATACCAGGACGAATGCAGTCACTGGTATGTTGTAATGCACACAGAGGTGAGTTTGGAATAGCTACTCTTCATGTTTACACACGCTGTTACATCTGTTGTACTTATGTCATATATGTTAAAACCAGATTCACCGGTTTCAATTGGGTATTTTATATGGGGTATCAAATGTAAATAATTTCTCTTGATTATGTAACCTGTTATTGCAATTGTCATAAACGTTTCAACAAAACTTAATCTTAAATCGAATAAAGTACAAGTTAAGTTGTATTCTACTCTAAAATATGCATTTCTCCATTCTATTGTTTTGCCAAAAGCTGCTATACTTTGTATATATATACATATATAGCGATAAATAGTTTTAAATGTCCATGTGACGGTAGAATATAAACAAAACAAAACACGAAGACGCGTTACCAGTTTAGTGTATTGTTGCGGAAGTCATTTGTTTGGGGATTCCACACCAAAATTTCAAATCTCACTCTT